TTTTTTAAAGTCCAGAAAGTTTTTATAAAGATCTGGATTCAAAGTTCGTACAGAAAACTTCATGCAAATATTCAATTTCTTAGATTATCACATTAAGTAAATACCATGGTCATTTTATAAAACAATACAAAATCGTTTACTGAAATAGTGATATAATAGAGAGGTTGAAATATATTTCAATACAATATCCGGTACTGAAATGCTACATAATGAAGATACTGAAGTGCTATATAATAAAGGTACTAAAATGCTACATAATAAAGTTACTAAAATGCTATATAATTAAGGTCTAAAATGCTACATAATTAAGATACTAAAATGCTACATAATTAAGGTACTAAAATGCTACATAATAAAGGTACTAAAATGCTACATAATGAAGGTACTGAAATGCTAAAAACCAAGGTACTAAAAAGCTGCATAATAAAGGTACTAAAATGCTACATAATGAAGGTACTGAAATGCTAAAAACCAAGGTACTAAAATGCTACATAATAAAGGTACTAAAAAGCTACGAAATAAAGGTACTAAAATGCTACATAATTAAGGTTCTGAAATGCTACACAATAAAGGTACTGAAGTGCTATATAATAAAGGTACTGAAGTGCTATATAATAAAGGTACTGAAATGCTACATAATAAAGGTACTGAAATGCTATGTAATGAAAGTACTAAAATGCTACGTAATTAAGGTAATGAAATGCTTTGTAATGAAGGTACTGAAATTCTATGTAATGAAAGTACTAAAATGCTTCATAATAAAGGTACTAAAATGCTACATAATTAAGGTACTAAAATGCTACATAATAAAGGTACTAAAATGCTACACAATAAAGGTACTAAAATGCTACATAGTTAAGGTACTAAAATGTTATGTAATGAAGGTACTAAAATGCTACATAATAAAGGTACTAAAAAGCTACATAATAAAGGTACTAAAATGCTACATAATAAAGGTACTGAAGTGCTATATAATGAAGGTACTGAAATGCTAAATAATTATGAGTGTTCAGTGTACCAATTAATTATTAGGTACTGAAATTGTATTATATCACCATTCATTAGCCGACATTGTATTGATATATTTGCTGAACACTGTACCTTATTCCTTTCTTAGATAACTACATGTGTACAATGTTCATAGATCCATCCTGATATGTAACCGACACTGTATTGATATATTTGCTGAACACTGTACCTTATTCCTTTCTTAGATAACTATATGTGTACAATGTTCATAGATCCATCCTGATATGTAACCGACACTGTATTGATATATTTGCTGAACACTGTACCTTATTCCTTTCTTAGATAACTACATGTGTACAATGTTCATAGATCCATCCTGATATGTAACCGACACCTGCCGGATGCACACTTTTTGTAGGTTGGTGGACACTTTTTGTAGGTCAGATGGACACTTTATTAGGTCAGATGGACACTTTCTTTAAGTTGGGATGATATGAAAAGTTGAATCAATTTTCTGGACCAATGTCGACTTCGAAGTGTTGAAACGCCTTGGCTTTTTTTTATTAAAAACTCACTTATACTTTTGTCTAGACCTAGACATTAACATTTTACAAAAATAAAGCTCTTATTATTGAGAAGTAATTAGACACAATTCTCACCAATTTTACATAAAACACAGATCACAGTGAGTGCTTTTATTAAAGACTCTACCTTGTATACATTATAATAAACAAAATTTCAAAGTCTTGCAATAAAGGAGACTGCCATTTTCAGCTTTCAATAACTGGGAGAGGCATTAGAAATGTCTTCTTGATTAGAAATGTCGTCTTGATAAGTATGACATTTTCAGATGAACATTTTGATTGTTAATGATTTCCTAAAGCTGTTTTGTATAGTTATACAATGATTTTTTTTACATTACTTTATTTTAAAGATTTAATTTAACGTAATGAACACGCTTTCAGGTATTACAGTAAAACATATATTTTAAAATGTTATTATACCGTCATTAAGCGCGAAGTAACATAAAAAAGAAAAGTTACAATGCATTTCAATCAGTGTTACCACTGTTAGATTATATTTTGACAGCATCATACATAAAGTATATTTTGATTTGTTTAAGTAAAATATCAATGTCTTCTCACGCATATGAAAGTGATACAGACACAGTTGTCGAATAAAAAAACACATTCTTATCTCGAGGCTTAATTTTTTCCCGATCATATTAAAGATAATATAACAATGTCTCTAGGGGAAAGGAATATGTGAAAATATTATCGGATTTGCACGCTCTAAATAAATGCTCTTTATCTCTTGGGGATGGAACTGATTAGTCTACGCTGGAGAGCCTTTTTCAGCTTTACTGTTCTTCAGTTAAAAGAGATCGTTTCATTTCTTCCTTGCAACCTTCTCTTAATTATGTCAATTACTTTCAATTATAGGCCAGACTCCATGGGACCATGGACATTGTCGTCAGGTGTAAACCAAACTTTGATATAAACTATTGCTGACAGCATGAGACGCTGCAGGCAGCGGTTGCATTTTACAAGTTCGTCCTGCTAGCATGCTGACCCTTTAAGGTCCAGGTTAGAGTTGATTTAAACCAGAAAAAGCTTTAGGATACAGTAAGTACAATCCTTCTTGAAATAGAATCTGGTAACTAACAAAGCTTTTCAGAGTTTTAGGGTTATATTAAATAGATTCTTGTAATTTTTAAGCTAGTTCTAGACCTTTCTTACTCTTAGCTTTGAAAATGTTTTTTTTTGCATAGGCTCATCAGTTCTTTCCCTCAGAGACGAAGAGCATTTATTCAAAGCAGGGTTTACCAAATCCAATATTTTTTTTCATGTATTCCTAACATTCTAGAGACGTTGTGTTATTAATTTCATTATGATCGGGTATAAATTAAGCCACATTGTAGATAAAAATGTCTTGATATTTTCCTTGGTTCAAAGATTTTCCTTGGATCAAACATTTTCTTCGGTCGAACACAATGATCCAGGATGACGGACTCATTATTATTTATCTGCAGCAATACTTGTTATTGTTGATAACTTAGTCTTTTAAAGCCTTTCTAGATAATATTAATATTTATTTTCTGATTATTACTTTAATTATTATTATTATTATTATTATTATTATTATTATTTGTTTCACACTCCACGAATTTACAAGACTACTTTTTGATATCGTAGCTGAGTAGCTCATCTAGTTTTAAATTTTTCGCCTTAGTTTAAGTAATTTTAAGAGTTTTGATGATTTGGCGTTTGATATTCTGATATTTTTGCTCAAGTATGGTTGTATATTAGATATTCATATTATTTTTTCTTCCAAGGTAATTTTAGGCTAATCAAGGAAAGTTATTTCAGATGCGTATTCATCTTTTGTACTGCAGTGTACTGTCTCTGGACGGTAATGTAAACACAAGACAGATGTCACAGCCTGACATGGGATCCATCTTTCACATAAAAAAATCAATGAAATATTCTGGTCATAGAAAACTATTATGTGAATTATCAAAATTTTCAAAATTCAATGCTTTTCTCCTCCTCGGATACAAGAGGAACACTGATGCATCTATTCTTGTTTACAAATTCCGCCCAGAGAGAACTGGTTTCAATATGTACGCAGAGTAAACGTAACTGCAATTAACTTTCCTTGCATTATAACCTTGAGGCTAATAGACAAATTGTACTCTAGAATACACCGAATACTGTAATAGTCGATGAACTCAGTGTCGGTAGGTATACAAATGTATAATGGTTGTTTGTAAACAACAACTGAAACTGGTTTAGAACCGAAATTTGAAATTAAAATTTAAAATAGAAAACCAACGATTTCTGTCTCATTGTAACTCAGTTATAGATTTTTAAGGGAAAGTCTAGGTTGAAGGAAGCTTTGTTCAGAAGAGGAAGAACAGAAATGATTTATAGAAGAAAGCATTGATCCTCAAATTAAAAGTGTCCACAATGGATATCAAGATCAAACCCGCGTGATCAACAGCACAAAAAGTCACACCTTAGGAATAAAATCTCTCTCTTAAAGATAAAAAATGAATATTTATAAATGTCTGAGAAGACTTTATTGAATATATTCTAAACAATTGAATTAATATTGAGCACTTGATTCGTCTGGTCTCAGCCTAAAGGAATGGTTTGACTGCGTAACTTAACGATTGACGCATATCTTTAGAAACAATTGCGTATATCGTTAGCTAATTTTGCGTATAATAAACAAAATATTATCACCCAAAAAATTCAACAGCGTCATAAATTTACTTTCATGAATAACAATAATCTAGGATTCGAAAATCAAATAAAAAGTTCTGCTTTACTCGCCTTTATATCACAAGTAATATATTAAAATTGAACAGGGAACTATAAGCTTGATTGCATCCTGTTTTCTAAAGTTTTACTTTTTTTACAAAATTATATCTATTTACACTATAAAACGGTTTAAATGAACAGTAAATTAAACTGCCCATGAACTCAGGCCAATTTCGACTGATTGTCTAGACGCATTCTTGCTTTAACCTGGTTTAAAGGTTTTCATAATATACAATATTCTACATAGAAACATTATCTACATAAAAGGGGACTAGAGAAACTAGATATAGGCTCTTTTCAAGATTAAAAAAGGGGACTACAGAAACTAGATATAGGCTCTTTTCAAGATTAAAAAAGGGGACTACAGAAACTAGATATAGGCTCTTTTCAAGATTAAAAAAGGGGACTACAGAAACTAGATATAGGCTCTTTTCAAGATTAAAAAAAGTTGCAAATAGGATTTAAGCAGTATAGTTTCTTGAAATTTACTTAAGGGATATTTTCAGATTTGTAATATATTGCAAAAATTTCAAAATATTTAGTTTTTTATTGGATATTTTGATATATCTAGGATATCTAGAAATCAGCCTAAGATCTGGAATCTAGGATCTAGGAATCTAGGATCTGGAATCTAGAATCTAGAATCTAGGATCTGGAATCTAGGATCTAGAATCTAGGATCTAGAATCTAGGATCTAGAATATACATATACATATACATATATATATAGATACATAATAAACTAACAAGGTATAAATATATTGGGTGAAACAGAATAACATTGTTCCATTTAACAAGAGTTAGCATAAAGGGTCAGGGTTTCAAATATTTTTCCGAACCAATTCCGATACAGAAATGTATACGGAACCTTTCCTCAAGCTGTAAACAATTCAAAAATATTAAATTGAAAATCAAGGGCTTTAGAGAAGTAAGTGCGACATTCTGAAAACAAATTTACGGAACGATTTTTTTGGATGAATCCCTTATGAAATAAAATTGGGTAAAATATGCTGCGCATGTTGTACAATGTACATAGTTATGTGTGACTTCTAAGTTCTTGGGTAAAAATTTATTTGTAAGTGAAGAAAGAGAGATTCCTTTGCAGTTTTCAACAGCTTCAGGAAAGATTCCGTTTGACATTTACGAAACAAATTGATCATGAAAAAATGGGCCCTCTAATAAAGGGAGAAGATAAGAACCAATCCTGCGGGAAGCGTGAAGCATGAAGAACATTTTACCGAAGAAAACAAAATTCATTAGAAAATTTCCAGATTTATGCATGGAAGATTTTTTCATTTAAAATTTTATCTTCTCTGATATACTGACAGTGACAGGGGGGATATGGCAATTAGATCGAATATTTAATTATTTAATAATTATCAGATTTGTTATTGCTATTGTCGGTTCGAATAAAAAATAAGGAAAGAAGGATTTCAAATATTTGATTAAGCGAACTCTAATCTTACATATCAAAGTACAGATTAAAGTTAAATCATTAATGATAAAAAATAAATCAACGGACGTTTTGAGGTTTAAAATGTGTAATAAAAGATGGATAATGTTTTTTATGTTTAGAAAGGAAGTACAACGATTGAAAACATTGTGGATTTAATGGCTTGTAAGGCATGATTGACCGAAAAAGATTAATTAGAAATGTTTCTTAAGATTTAAATTTTTACACAGAAGGGTTTAGTAATAAGATAAAGAGATAGAGGATTAGTGGAACAAGAGCTAAGGGATACAGGATTAATGGATTTAGGAGTAATGCATAAACAATGAAGGGATGAAGGATCAAAGCATAAAGGATTAAGGATACAGAATTTAGCTATATAGGATTTAGGGATAAAGGATTAAGGAATAATGAATTAAGGTCATGAATAAACTAATTAAGGATTGGGATCAAGATTTAAGAAATAAAGGACTAGGGGATTAAGGATTGGTTCTGGGTTGAAAAGTGATGAATATTTACCAAGTAAATACACCGGTATGGGGCAATAAGTGCCGGGATCACATATAGTAAGGTTTATAAAGACACCTGGAGTCAAGTTGTCTGTGGAACCTGGAGCAGATATATATTTCTCTCTCTAGGAACAAGTTCTGATGGAAACATTTTAAACTGCTCTCTACAGAGAACACTGAATTTTTAACTCAATATTGTTTTATAACAAAATTATCTAGATGAACAGCTGACATTAAAACTATGAAACAGTGAACTGTAGGTTTCCTCCTCGTAACAAATAGATAGAAATATAAAGTGAGAGAGACAAGGAATAAGGAACAGCTATCAGGGTATTGGATCAAGAGTAGGACCAGCTAAACTGAGATTCGATGATGAAGACTGGAGGAAGAACAAAGCTGTCTGGACTCCTAGAACAGATAAACATTATGTAAAAGGGGGTTTAGAGCTAAAACAACCTTATGTTGTTTGGTAATATACTTTTAGTAAAAACTTTTGAAAATAAGTGCTAAATGTTAAATGTTTCTCATGATGGAATACTTCATAGAAAGCGCAGTGTTCTAAAGTATACCCTGAGTAGAACATATATATAGTATAGAACACTGAAGTTCTATACTATACCCTGAGTAGAATATAGTATAGAACTCCAGTGTTCTATAGTATACCGTGAGTAGAATATAGTATAGAACTCCAGTGTTCTATAGTATACATATAGTATAGAACTCCAGTGTTCTATAGTATACCGTGAGTAGAATATAGTATAGAACTCCAGTGTTCTATAGTATACCCTGAGTAGAATACAGTATAGAACTCCATTGTTCTATAGTATACCCTGAGTAGAATATAGTATAGAACTCCCAGTGTTCTATAGTATACACTGAGCTGAATATAGTATAGAACTCCAGTGTTCTATAGTATACCGTGAGTAGAATATAGTATAGAACTCCAGTGTTCTATAGTATACCGTGAGTAGAATATAGTATAGAACTCCAGTGTTCTATAGTATACCCTGAGTAGAAAACTCCAGTGTTCTGTAGTATACCCTGAGTAGAATATAGTATAGAACTCCAGTGTTCTATAGTATACCCTGAGTAGAATATAGTATAGAACTCCAGTGTTCTATACTATGCACTGAGTAGAATATAGTATGGAACTCCAGTGTTCTATAGTATACCCTGAGTAGAATATAGTATAGAACTCCAGTGTTCTATACAATACCCTGAGTAGAATATAGTATAGAACTCCAGTGTTCTATACAATACCCTGAGTAGAATATAGTATAGAACTCCAGGGTTCTATAGTATACACTGCGTAGAATATAGTACAGAACTCCAGTGTTCTATAGTATACCCTGAGTAGAATATAGTATTGAACTCCAGTGTTCTATAGTATATACTGAGTAGAATATACTATAGAACTCCAGTGTTCTAAAGTATACCCTGAGTAGAAGAGTATTGAACTCCAGTGTTCTATAGTATACACTGCGTAGAATATAGTATAGAACTCCAGGGTTCTATACACTTGAGTAGAATATATTATAGAACTTCAGTGTTCTATACTATACCCTGAGTAGAATATAGTATAAAATTCTAGTGTTCTATAGTATACACTGAGTAGAATATTGTATAGAACTCCAGTGTTATATACTATACACTGAGTAGAATAAAGTATAGAACTCCAGTGTTCTATACTATACACTGAGTAGAATATAGTATAGAACTCCAGTGTTCTATAGTATACCCTGAGTAGAATATAATATAGAACCCTGAGTAGAGGTTCAGTCTGGCCTGGGTTGCGTGATATTACTTTAAACTTTTTCAAGGTTAGTTTCTTTATTAATATTACTCAACATAATAGTCTTAATATATAGACTTCCTTATTCAAGTCCTTCCTTACTTTCAATCCTTTTTTTACCTAATTTATTTCTTAGTCACCTTGGTCGAGTTGGTTCCGGTCTATTTTTTATTTAGACGGGTCCGTTCTTTTAACTTCATTTTCGTCTCATTATTGTAGTCTATTCCCCTGTATATTCGTCCAGTCCAGCTTCTTACTCTTCCTAATCCTTCCTTTTTCACTTATACCAGTACCCTCCAGTCCCTTCATCAGTAGTCCAGTTCCTTCTTACTCTTCCTAATCCTTCCTTTTTCACTTATACCAGTACCCTTCAGTCCCTTCATCCCTAGTCCAGTTCCTTCTTACTCTTCCTAATCCTTCCTTTTTCACTTATACCAGTACCCTCCAGTCCCTTCATCCCTAGTCCAGTTCCTTCTTACTCTTCCTAATCCTTCCTTTTTCACTTATACCAGTACCCTCAAGTCCCTTTATCACTAATCCAGTTTCTTTTAACTTAATTGAGTCCTTTCTCAATATTAACTTTATCAAATTAATAATATGAAACATTTTGTTGTGACAGTTGAAAATAATTTAGTCTTTTTTAAAGGATATCTCTAATATTGATAATTCATTCTTGATTATATAAAGCTTTAAAGATACCGTTGTGAATCGGACATGCCACTTTATTAAAAAAATAGTCACTTGAAATTACGTGTACAGTCCCTTTAACTTGTTACCTGTAGATTGGTTATGTAACAGAATCTGTGGTCCCTGGATCAGAAGAAAACTCCTGAGAAGTACATATAATATCAACAGGTTGAGGAGTCTCCTGGCACGGGATAACCCCGATAGGTAACAGCTCGGAGCAGGGTGGTTCAGTCTCCAGGGGAGAATCTGGACAGTGTCCAGCCCCTAGTACAGAAAGGATTTCTAATGACGTTCCACAACCAATCCCAGAATCATCCTGACTTATACGTTCTCCACCTTCTTTATCTCTGGTTTCCTCTTCTATCTTCTCTTCCGGGTTCTCCGGGTCCCCCTGGAGTCTCAGATAAACCTGATGATCAACTTTCAGTCCTTTATGTCCTTTATTTACTTGTTCTCTCCCCCGTTGAAACTTGGGTTTGGGTTCGGAGAGTTTTATCTTCTGAGATTCAATAAGATCATCACATATCATATCATCCGGGGAGCCGGGAGCTCCTGATACTTCCGGGGAGCCGGAAGCTCCGGATCCCTCTGAAGGCCTGGAAGAAGAAGGGAAGGAGGGTGTCTCCAGTGATATAGGAGGAGGAAACCTTAATCTTCGTTTCAGAGACGGAGAAAAATCTGGTTTGTCCGTTTCACCATTTACATCTAAAACATTCTATGAGTTCTGATTTTTCCAATGCTGTCTACGTGGAACCCGTAATACTGTGTTTTAGGATAACGACATTGAACAATCTTAAATTGTTGTTTAAAAACAAAAATGATTTACGAGAAATTTTAAAGATAACTTATGAGGTAAAATAGGCTCATGCACACTGCACAGATGTTAATTTAACTCTTTTAAATCATACAGGGTTACCCACAATTACGTACAATCGTCATTGAAGTGGCAAGCTTTGTGGAAAACCGTGTATCTGAAGTCTGAAAATCGTCGTTTTTTTCATAGTGTTACGGTCACCACTGATTTCTAATATTAAGAATGTTGTTTTAAAAAAATTGTGGAAAAAGGTTAATTTACCTGAGGTTTGGGGATCATCTGCAAGTTTGCTAAAAAGTTGTTTTTTGGCAGGAGTAGGCGTGGCATATTTAAGGCTTGTGTTTGAGGGTGGGGGCAGAGCTGGGCTAGATCCTCTAGATCCTGAGGCATAAGGACGGGATCTATTGGAAGGACTAGAGGTTGGAGAAGATGGAGGCCAGGAAACACGAGGGTGAGAAGTGTCCTCACCCTGGATAAGTTCGTCAGTTTCAGGGTCTCTGGGTGAACCCTCAACCTTCTTCAGGATAGATTTTTTTCTAATAGTTGAGGGCGAGGGTTGGATCACAGGCTGGATTGATGCAGGAGAAGAGCTCTTGTTCCCTTTACCTGAAATGTAAACTTTAGTCAGGGTTCGACTAAAACCGTAAGAGTATGTAGGGTTTAGTCAGGGTTTAACTAGAACCTGGAGTATATTAGGTTTAGTCAGGGTTCAACTATAACCTGAAGTATATTGGGTTTAGTCAGGGTTCAACTAGAACCTGGAGTATATTGGGTTTAGTCAGGGTTCAACTAGAACCCGGAGTATACAGGGTTTAGTCAGGATATAACTAGAACCTGGAAAATATAGGGTTTAGTCAGTGTTCAACTAGAACCCGGAGTATATTGGGTTTTAGTCAGGATTTAACTAGAAACTGGAGTATATAGATTTTAGTCAGGGTTCATCTAGAACCTGGAGAATATACGGTTTAGTTAGGGTTCAACTAGAACCTGGAGTATATTGGGTTTAGTCGAGGTTTAACTAGAACCTGGATTATATAGGGTTTAGTCAGGGTTTAACTAGAACCTGGAGTATATAGAGTTTAGTCGAGGTTGAACTAGAACCTGGAGTATGTTGGGTTTAGTCAGGGTTCAACTAGAACCCGGAGTATATTTGGCTATATTTAGATTTAACTAGACACTGGAGTATATAGGTTTTAGTCAGAGTTCAACTAGAACCTGGAGAATATACGGTCTAGTCAGGGTTCAACTAGAACCTGGAGTATATTGGGTTTAGTCAGGGTTCATCTAGAACCTGGAGAATATACGGTTTAGTCAGGGTTTAACTAGAATCTGGAGTATATTGGGTTTAGTCAGGGTTCAACTGGAACCTGGAGTATATTAGGTTTAGTCAGGGTTTAACTAGAACCTGGAGTATATTGGGTTTAGTCAGGATATAACTAGAACCTAGAGTAAATAGGGTTTAGTCAGGGTTCATCTAGAACCTGAAGTATATAGGGTTAAGTCAGGATTTAGCTAGAACCTGGAGTATAAAGAGTTTAATAGGCTTCATCTAGAAATTGAAGTATATAAAGTTTAGTCAGGGTTCAGCTAGAACCTGGAGTATACAGGGTTTAATCAGGGTTCATCTAGAACCTGAAGTATATAGGGTTTAGTCAGGGTTCAACTAGAACCTGGAGTATATAAGGTTTAGTCAGGGTTCAACTCAAAACTGGAGTAAATAGGGTTTAGTCAGGGTTCAACTCAAAACTGGAGTAAATAGGGTTTAGTCAGGGTCTAGAACCTGGAGTATATAAGGTTTAGTCAGGGTTCAACTCAAAACTGGAGTAAATAGGGCTTAGTCAGGGTTCATCTAGACCTGATGTATATAGGGTTTAGTCAGGGTTCCATTAGAACCTGGAGTATTTAGGGTTTAGTCAGGATTCAACTAGAACCTTGAGAATATAGGGTTTTGTTAGGGTTCAACTAGAACAAGGATTTTATAGGGTTGAGCCATGGATTATAAAGTCAGGGATAATAGGGTTAAGTCACAGGGTTCATCTAGAATCTGGAGTATACAGGGTTAAGTCAGGGTTCCACTAGAACCTGGAGTATACAGGGTTTAGTCAGGGTTCCACTAGAACCTGGAGTCTATAGATTGATTTGACAGTTTAGTAATAACGATGTCCATTTGTTTTGTACTTTTAGTCTGTTGTAGGTACACGTAGTTAAAGTCAGGAAAAATGATAAATTGATATTAAATATAATGATAATTACAATTTCCAATCAGGGCTACAATATTAACCTTCAAAAAGAAATTAATTCAAATGCCCTATTTATTAATGTATGTATTGATGCAAGACTTTTAAAAGAAAGAATATTAGAAAAATTACAAAATAGTATATTTGTATGCAATTTTTCCACAAGTTTTAAAGGAACTGTAGGCATAATTTCAAGTGGCCCACCATTTAAAGAGGGGCGTGTCCGATTTACAACGGTACCATTTAAACCTTTGTCTGATCATCAACGACAGAGAATCTCGAACTTTTCCAACGCGGTTTTCAACAATTTGAAAGAAAATATTTATTTTTCTGGGACTTCTATAAACTGGTTGCAAACAAGGTTATCAATGGATACAAACGTTTTAGAAGAAAAATAAGGATAATTACTACAAGGGTTAAAGGGTACCATTGTGACTTTACAAATGGAAATTTACTTGAAATTATGCCAACAGTTCCTTTAAGTTTAGTAATTTACGAAAATTGATAAGTTGCAGTTTAATCAAAGGAACTGAGTTGTTGTCACAAACTCTACTTTTCTAATCTCGTCATCTTTGCTACCCAATGTCGTAGACCTTTGATATTTCAAACTATGACTTCTGTGAGACCAAATAATCTAAGTTTGAAATATCAAAGGTTTACATCATCAGATTGTACAGATATAGGAATTAGACAATTTGAGTTTGTGACAAAAAATCAGTTCCTTTACAACAAAAGTCGATTTTTAAAAATTTGTGGTTTTTGTGTTTGTTACATGATTCCTCATTTTTAAGACCCCACCCCCCTCCCCTCCATAGTATTATAAAATCGTAATCTTCTACATATGAGATTTTTAAAGGGCTTTCAGATATTTTGAAATTGTTTGATTCGATTGTTTTATCGAGAATAATAGATATTGGCAGAAGTTGCAAAATAAAAATTCTAAACGTTCCCCAATTTTGTATTATGCGGCCCTCCCATATTTCTCGGTTTATGTTTTCTTGGGAAATCGTTGAAAATATTGTTTGAACTTTTATCCGAAATTGATATTTTATATTTACCATTAAACTCTCGAGGGGAGTTTTATTTGATTGATTTTATTTCAGAACAATTTCAACAACTTTAAAGAGGGTCTTCATTACAAATTAAAGGATGTATTGGAAATCATAGGTTTTTCATCGGATGGCGACAGAATCCCGAAATATTTCAAAGCCAAGAATTATTAAATTCGATTTCCAAATACATGGAAAAATGTTAGAACTTATATCTGAATATTGTTTTATCTATGCCTGAAAACTCCAATCAAGTTTTGTGTATCGTGTTTTCCTATCAACTTAATTTCCAGAGGATAGTATAAAGAACTCTTTCATTCAGTCAATCCCAGAATAATAAAATCATGCGAGTAAAAAGTTTGAATAACAGATTAAAGATGAAAAGGGCACATTCAGCTAATTTTTGGATCACTGGGTGAACACTCTTTACAAGGTTAACATTTACTTTAAATGAATTTTTAACATGCACTGTGATTTCTATGTAAGGGCACCGGAATGAATTTCTATAATATTTTCTGCTTTCCTGTTTTTTTGATTTGTCGACGCAACAAAATACAGTGGTGAAGTCGTCTTTTTATAAGAAAGTATTTTATGTTACTTACTTACCAAAATATTTTCAGAAATTTATTATTTTTTTAAAATTTCGTTTAGATTATACTGATTTATCTAAATATCTATGTATACAAAGAATTAGAAGAAATGTATAAACTGTGTTTAATGTACGTCAAAGATTTTGTTATGCCAGTCTGTGTAAAACAGGTTTGAGGAAAAAAACAAACTTTTTTTTATTTTAAATCAAACCGTGTTTGAACTAATTAAGTTTTTGGTCACGCCAGATTTTTTCCGTTACTTTTTTCTTCTGAATTTTTCTCCCGGAATTTAAATGGTTTTGATTGACCCATCATACCTTTTCATGCGTTTACATACTTACAGTTTACGTTGTAAACAAAACTTTAATTTACTACATTACATAGAAGTTGAGAGTGTGTGTAAAGAGAATAAAAGTGTGCATAGGTCTACAGGGTGGAGAGGATAAAAGACTAAGGTTTTACCTAAACCTATTCAACAAGTGAATATGTGTTCTCTTGGACTGAAAAATACAAATAACATTTAAATCTTAGAAAAGAAAGAATGAAAAAGAAATTTTGCTGAATCAAGTCAAATAAATGAAATGGTTCTTTTAATCTTTCTTGTAAAAATGTTATTCATTTTGTGAAATTTAATATAAAAGTATACTGTGCCAAAATTTAGTAAAGTATGTAGATTGTGGATCGATGTAAAAACTGTGAATTGCTTTTTCATTTCATTCATGTTAAAATTGTGGCAAAATTAGAAAGTTGAAATCAATAATGTATGCAAACATAGGGTTTCCAGCAAACGAAAACTTTCGCGAAAAAATGTGAAAATTGTCGTTTGTATTTCGCGAAATTTCAAGAAAAAAAAATTCCGCGAAACCATAGCTGAAACAGTTAATTGCTCAAAAAACGTGTGGAATTCTCTGCTCTGAGAGCTCAACAATAGAAATTTTATTTTATCATAATTAATATAACTTCTCTTCCGTATTTGTTTGGCAAAATTTTCGCATTTTCCCCTCCCAAAATTTGTGCATTTCTTATTTCGCGAAAATTTCCCATTTTTTCGCGAAACAGAAAGCGAAATTTTTGCATTTTTCGCGAGCGAATGAAATACGAAATATTCGGCGAATAAATTTTTTTCGTGAAAAATGGAAAATTTTCGCGAAAAGATTTACCCATTTCGTTGGAAACCCTAATGCAAACCTAGAAAACTATAATATTCTATGCTTTTAATTCAATTGGAAATATTATAATTTGGGGAGGTGGGGAATTAAAGGGGGGGGGTTGAATTTCAGCTGTACTTCAAAATATATATTTTTATTCAAGTAAATAATATGTTGAACTTGAGCTGAAATGTACATTGTATACAACCTAGTACTAACAACAGGTTGGGTGCTCGCAAACTGGCTCACCTAATTTGTCCCCCAAAGACGACAACCCTTGATTGAGTGCCGCGGCAAATTTTGTTGTTAGAGATTGTCTTCTCAGGTTTTCCGGTTTCAATTGGTCTAGCACTCCACTCTGCAACCAAACAATGGGTTCAGCAAACTTGAAATCAACTTCTCTCCGTGTTTTCTTAATTGTGCATTGGAGACAAATTTCACCATAAAAGTTAGTGTGCCCCCCCATGTGATAAATAATAAGCTATCTACTGTAAATATTAAGTTCTTTTTTTACACATGCTAAACAATCGTTTTCTCTTGCTATAGAAGCACAATCAACGTAAGTTTCTGTGACCCTTTTTTTGGGTGCAGGTTTACCCACAAAGGATTAGACTTTACTAACAACATAAAACTTGGGGTTGAGTTCGGTTTTCTGGCTTAAAAGTTGTCTTTAAAGGATGTATTAAATGGTTGGCTATGGAGAAAAACATGTACACAGTTGCATAGATACAGAAAGAAGACTAAATAAATTCCCTACAGCCTTCTCTGAGGTCTCATCCTTTGTGGATAATCTGTATATATCTTTATACTTGATCAAAATTCGAAAAGCTACTCGTAAAGTTTTACCGTTTTATTTTTGCGTAATATCACTAATGGCACTTTGAAAAAAAAGATCACAAAAATTACGTAAATAATTCCATTATTTTATATAACCGAAGAAGAAGACCTAATGTAAGAAAAAATATTGTAAACTGATGTTTGAATGCTAGGATTGTTAGTACTAGTATCAATGCTGACTAGAAGATATGAAGGGAAGGAAGAAATAGTAAATAAAAACATTTAAAAGCATAAACTGAATGAATCTGTATAATAGAATAGAAAACTTTTAATGTTCGAAAATCGGTTAATGTTCCTCATACAGAGTCATTTTACAGAACAAAAACTACAGAAAATTACATTTGAAAGAAAACTAATTACTTTCATGAATTAGGATATCTAACCAACATCATAATTAAACAAAGTTACTCCTTTTCGTCAACCAAAAATTATGAACGTTATTTTGCTCATTTGACCGGATTATATGAATAATCTACACAAACCATGTATTTTCAAGTTTCTCTGTTTTAAGACCTTGTATTATTAAAAAATTATTTATCAAATGTACTGTCAGAGTAATTTCAAGTGACCCTCTATGCAAGAACGACAATGCCCGATTCACAACAGTACCCGTAAAGGGAGTGTTCGCTGCAAAAAATGAAAACTTATCCTGAATTGATTTCAGTTTTGATCACTACTTATTTCACTTCTATCCGTTGCGAATATAAGGATAAAATGGTTAAACACGCCTTTTACACAACAAATAGAAGTAATATAAGTAGCGATTAAAGTCGAATTCTTTTCAGTATTAGCCTATACCCACTGTCATTTTTCGCAAACACTCCCTTTAAAGGCTTTGTCTGATTAAGTATGAATTAAATATATAGGTCTATAATTTTAAAAACTGATTATTTTAATTTTAATTTACTGCGAATTTCAACAATAGGAAAACGGATATGAGTTATCAGAATTTATCACTAAAAAACGACAATATCTCCCAAATTGCAAGGATACTGTTGTCAACAGGGCATTGTCGTATTTGCATGGAGATTCACTTGAATTTACGCTTACAGTCCCTTTAAAGAAGTAAATTATAGAAGAAAATAATCCATTGAGCCAAGCATGGTACTTTTAAACTATAGGTATAACGCACTTCATAGTTTAAGGGAATTGGGCACTTACACAATTCTCTTTGCTTTTGTTAACGAACGTTGCTGTCGTTCAGATGAAACGATTATCTTAAATGTTTACTGAATGACGAAATGGGTAATTAACTAACGATGAACGAACAAAATGAAAAAAGCCGAACGTGTCTATCTCTATTTCAATCTCTAATTTTGAAATCCCTCTTTTCGTGCAACTTCGACATCAAGTAGCGAAGATAGGTTTAGAAAATTAGAGTTTGTGGCAAGTGTTCTCAAATAAACATGAAAAAATTTATCATTCTAAATTCCAGAAACGTATCCTGTACTTTTTTCTTTTGCAACTTTGTTTAATAATGAAGTATCTAGAATTTAGAAAAATAAAACTGCAGCTCAACATCTTAGAATTTGCTTAAATTCTAATTTTATAAGCCGTATATCTTAGCAACCTAATGTTTCAGACCTTTGATTTATCAAACTTTGAGTTTTGATATATAAAATAAAATTCAAATTTAAAAGTTTTACACGATCAAGTTGCAAAGATATAATTGTAAAATTATAATTTGCTGCAAGTATTTAGTTTATTTACTTTTACGGAGTTGATTGAACATTTTGCAAAGAAAGAACTAAAAATCCATTAAGCGAAACATTGGATCTATCCCAAAATATTTACTTTTCAATGAGGATTGTAATATGTTTACGAATAAATTAAAGAAAACTAAATGAAGTTGATTAAATGAAAAAATAAATAACTTTACCTTCGCCACACGTGCTCTTTTATGCTTAGGAGGAGGTTCATTTACACTAGTCTCACGATCCATTAGATCAAGGTCACATAGATCACTTGATCTTGACCTAGCGGCTATTCTCACCCGTCGTTGAGGAGATCCTTTTGGACTTGGTGTCACAGCCTTCCTCCTCCTCCTCTGGTCCCTGTGGGGGTCGAACGGATTCACGTAAACGGAGTTGTTAATTGATCCGTTGGGAGCCATGGATCCCTGAGCAGCTAGAGCTTCTAAACCGACCAAGGATCCTTGGCTTGGGAATGGATGGGTGTTGCAACTGAGAAATGTATCACTAGAGTCTAAACTACCAAAGTCACCGCTAGATGTAGTTGGTCCAAATTCACAGAAGTTGTTTAATTCAATAACATTATTACCATTTGTAGTTTCTAGGCTCCCACTATGCAACCGCTGGGAGAGAAGGAATCTTCGATTTTCCTGAAAATATTTATTTTTAAATGTCCACGTTTTCAAGCAAGATATTTACATTCGTATTAAGAGATTTAAAATAAATGTTGTAAATTCGTTAGGTAAAGTTGAATGTAGGCGTAATTTCAAGTGACCTTAATTTTTATCATGAAGGGGTACTTACGATACATTTTAAACCTTTGATTGTATTTTTGTTATTGGGATATTTTTATTTTCTAACTGAGGACACTTGTAACTACTGTACGGCCTCTTTAAATAAAACAAAATGAGACTGCTGGTACATCCGACATATATGAATGAAAGTCAGATGAAAGTATTCTATTAAAGAATGAAAAAATTAAGATTAATTTCAGATCAATGCTGTGTTTCTCAGATTTACACTTGCTTAATTCGACCAACAATTCTACACAAGTTGATTTCTCATTGGAACCCTTAAGAGACCTTTTCATCAGTAAAACCATCGGGAAATTTAGTTAATTTTCTGTCAATGTATAATTACGTATTTTTACTTTTTTTCATTCCTTCAATTTTTTAAAGGAAACTGTTCGTTAACTAGCTCAAAGTAGAATTCATAATAGTTTTAACTTTTTTACTTCAAAAAGTTTCTTGAACTGGTTTGAAGTCTAGTTTTTATTCTAAAATTTTGAGATTTCACTGCTAAAACCTCTACTTGCCAGGCCTGTAGGGGTACATGATAAAAAACTTATATATTTTTAAAAATCTAGAAAAGCTTTTTCCCCCAATTTGTATGAGGTCCCCCGGGAACAATGAAGATATCTAACTCAGTAAACTAGTTAACTACTCTTTAAATTAGTAGATACCAGGAGACCACTGCTTTCGGTTGCACTTTCTTCACAATCAGAAGAAAATATTTTTTATTTAACATGAGCGCAACTACACCTTTTCCCGGAGAGGGGGAGGGGAAGATATGGTTTAAGGTAAGTAAAAAATACCTCAAAACCGAGGCATGCAAGAGAAAATTCATAACATTAAATTTTGTCCGTTTACTCATGACCTTTAGTGGAAGAACTTTTAAAATAAAGTAATTCCGCGTAAAGAGGCTGTCAGCATAATTTCAAGTGACCCTACATACAAAGATGACAATGCCCGATTAACAACGGTCCCATTGAAAGCTTTGTCGGATTATTTATGCATTAAATATCGATGTTTTGCTTTTATAACTGTTTCTTTTTCTAGTTTTCTAGTTTAAAGGAGACTTGCAAATTTCTTGTTTTTAAGAAACAACGGAGAAATTATCAGAATCAAAATCTTTTCCAGTTAAATAAAACGACGTTATCATCCACTTTTTTGTTGACTAGATTAAGGTTTCCAGGTTACCGTTGTAAATCAAGCATTGCCATCTTTTTATGGAAGGTCACTTGAAATTACGCTTACAGCCCCTGAACTAGCAGTGAAATACGAATAAATAGGTATTTTAGTGTCAACTGGGTCACTTTAAATTACGTTGTAGGTTGTAAAGGAATTGAGTCTTTGCCTCAAAATCTGATTTTAGCAACATAATGGTGTAAATCTTTCATGATTTGATCTAACAGAATCCATAGTTTGAAATATCTAAGGTCTACAACATTGGTTTGTAAAGGTACAAAGATTTGAAAATCAAATTTTGCAGCAAAGATTCAACTCTTTTGTAGTAAGTTCAGTAAGAAAATTGTACAGAGAGATTACTTATAAGCTGACAAAACACTATTATTTAACAAAAACATTAATCTAATTGCAGAATTTTTATAAATTAACAGAGATGGAATTTAAAGAATTTGAGCCAAGGTTTAAATCCGCTAAAACCCGGTTTAAAGTAAGCGCCGGCTTAAATCTTGAAACATTTGATACACTTTTAAGTGGAACCAACCATATTTAAACCGCGGCTTAAATTTAAACCGCCGCTCAAATTCTTTAAATTCGGCCACAGAATCCATAGTTTGAAATATCTAAGGTCTACAAAATTGGTTTGTAAAGATACAAAGATTTAAAAATCGAATTTTGCAGCAAAGATTCAACTCTTTTGTAGTGAGTTCAGTTTGAAAATTGTACAGAGAGATCACTTATAAGCTGACAAAACACTATGATTTAAAAAAAACATTAATCTAATTGCAGAACTTTATAAATTAACAGGTTTGGTTAGTCAGTGGTTAGTCAGTGGTTAGGTTCGGTTTAAGTCTTTTCATGATTTAGTTTTTTAGTTACGTTATTGTATGCTTAAAGAGCAAAACTTTGGAATTTTGTATCTGGTTAAACCGCAGTTTAATTTAAGTATTCGTAGTTCGAACATTTATAATTATATTTTGGTGGATTTCCCCTTTATTACCGGATTAAAATATTAAATCTCAGCCCATGGATAGTTTAGTTTATCATATTTTAGGTTTTGGTTTCAGAGATCATGCTACTATAGGACAAAACACAGATTAAAGGACGAAACAGAAGAAAACAAGACTTTAAAAAACAAGGTTTAGGGTTCAAGGGAGAAATTAGATTCTTTTACAAACCTTTAAACATTACACATTTGTTTTTGAACGGGGGAAGGGGGTAACTCTTATTAGCGTACGGTGTTGTCACAGATGTGTGTGCAAAATGAATTGATTCCAATAGAATTTTTAATAACAAAATCTTTAAAAAAGAAGTTTTTAGTTTTTCAGTTTTTCACTATTATTTTTACTTTACTGAAAAGAAAAAAGGCCTTAATTTTAGTAAAACCAAGAATGTAAGGCAAGGAAAGTCAATTGCGGTTGTGTATACTCTGTGTACATATTGAAACCAGTTCTCTCTGGGCGGAATTTGTAAACAATAATAGATGCATCAGTGTTCGTTTAGTATCCGAGGAGGTTAAAAGCATTAAATTTTGATAATTTTGATAATTCACATAATAGTTTCATATGACCAGAATATTTCATTGATTTTTTATGTGAATGATGGATCCCATGTCAGGCTTCGACATCCGTCTTGTGTTTACATTAGCGCCCAGAGACAGTACACTTTCCTTGCCTTACATCCTTGAGTAAAACTATAATGAATAAATACATGTACGGAAATAATTTAAAATAGAAAAATATATTTTTTGCGGGACAAAATTGCTCTTTTTTAAAGAAATAATTTGATTTTGCACTGATAATGTTTGTGGGTGTGTGAATAAATTCTGTTTGTTAGTTTCACTCCAATATCCGACTCACCTCAATAATTATAAAACTATTGACTTGATTTATTTTGCAGAGGTATTTCCTCTCTAGATATGCTAGCCTGAAAGATGTACGAATTATATTGTATGAAAACTCAGGCAGTGCCATCTTGTGCTCAAAGAGTGCTGAGTGCTGTGACTCTTATTTCTTGCCAAGGAGTTTAAATATTTCAAAAGTGTGTCGCTAGGGGGCATCAAGATCTCCAGTTTATACTGTTTTCAATCTTAGTCAAAAATCTAATATGTTGGAAGAAAAAGATGTCATGCACACAGAACTTTAGGGTTAAATCAATTCGTACATTTTTCGTAAAAAAAAATTTTTACTAAAGAAAAAAAAGTTGTTTGAATATATGTTAAATTTGATGAAGATAAAAAACTACCTAAAGATTTGTGCATGCAACACCTATAGCGTTCTCGCAAACTAGTTTTGGCAAGAAATAAACTATTTTTACAGTGCTGGGGGTGATTACAGTGTACTGTACAGCTACAATCTAATCGATGTTTCTTTATCTATTCATTTTTACAATAATTTCTTTTTTATTATATTTCAATCAATTACTTCCGTCATTAAGTATTAATTTAGTTTGAGTTTGTCCTTGATTTTTAGATCAACCTGCATGCTATCGAGTTTAATAAAAAAGCGTGCTGAAAGCGAAGTATTTTGAGATAAAACACAGTTAAAGGGGCCATAGGCCTTAGTTGGCGTGTTCAATTCACAACATTACTCTTTAAACTTTGACTGGTCAAGGATGCCCGACTTATCCTTATTTACTTTCTAGAAGTCGCATAAAATAATCAGTCTCAAAGGTTTAAAGAGTATGGTTGTTAATAGCGCAGTCTTTCTTTTGCACGGAGAATCACTCGAAATTTCGCGTACAGTCCCTTTACTGGTTGCCACCTTGTGTATCTCGCAGTTCTACCTTGGACGATAAATCAACAAGCGCATCAAATTCAAAAGAAGCGTTGTCTGTCAATTTTGGCAATCTTAGGTCGTCTTCCCAAGTATCAAAACTCTCCTAAACCATCGTATTTTTAAGAATCTTTTTTTAAAATCAGCTTTACATAATTTAATGCAACGAAAATAAAATTCCCCCCCCCCCTCCCTCCCAATTGTCTTGAAAAAAAATTGTGCTATAAGACGCCCTGTCCCAGCCAGGTATTTGTGATAAAATAAATGTAGTTTTATATTCCAAGAACTAAAAAAAATAATCAAACAAAAAGTGACTGTTCATCATGTTGGTCTTGGCTAAGTCTTCTCCAAGTATTTTACATAAAAATCTAAGCCATTTTCTTCCTAAAATATGGTACAGAAATCTTAGTAAAGGCTGTACAATACTTTTTATTTACAACTCCACTCTAATAGTTGAAGAAAGGTTTAATTCTAATCGTTTCCGACATTAAAAAAAGAATTGACAGTCTTTTCACGCAAATTGATAACGCCTAACTAAAACCGATGAACAGTCCCTTAACAAAATGGCGGATGCATCTGCATGTGTGCACCTTTGATCCAACCTCATCTATCTGCGGGTTGAAAGGAATATCTGACGGGAGATTAAGATTATTATTGCCGGGTTGAAAACTAGGAACGGACCCCATCAGCTGCCGTACATAAATTCTCATTGGAGATATACTTGGGGTCTCCTAAATAAACCAAATAGATCCAACCCGTCAACTCAAACTAAATTAGGGGGGTCATCGGACCGGATTTAATGAGTTGAACAACCTATAAACACCGGTTCAAATCTTGAATCCCCGATTCTAGGTTAAAGATTTATGGGAATTTTGGTAATTAGTAGAATCGGTGATCCATGATTTAAACCGGCTGAAGGCAATTAAGCGACCTCTCCAATTTATTAAATTGGGTCCCAGATTAATAGTCAGTGAGTCTAAACTTTGGCATCAATTCTCACACCTTAAATGATGGTTTTTCGTATTTGATAAATCATACTTTTTTGTTCGATCCTATACATGTTCGATCCTATATATGTTCGATCCTATACATGTTCGATCCTATACATGTTCGACAAACTTTGAGTGAGAGATATAATATGTCTATACAGAGAGGATGTACTTCATTGTAAATAGTTTTGTGTTGGCTGTGATCGATTCATAAACCTACAACGGAGTCGGCATAATGGGGTGTTACAGGGTTCAATATTAGGCTTCAATGTATTCTACCTCGATGTTTTGAAAGTCCCTGGCAAAGATTTCTCATTAAAATCTTGATAAAATCTTTTAATTACATTAATTCTTGCCTAATATTGGAAATTACCGAGCAATTTTTTTGAAAATGCGTAGTATGGACGATTTGGATTTCAGGATTTACCCCCCCCCCCCCGGTTTAACTTTTCTATCGCTTTTTTTTCCTTTCTAAAGAATGTTAAGGAATTAATACAGATTTCTAAATACAAATAAACACTTATACAGTAAGAAAATGTTATTAAAAGTCTATTAAGTAATTTAAAACTTAAAATAAACTTCTTATTCGAATTGGAAGGTTTAACCAGAAACTTCAGAAATTAAATTTCAGTATTTATTAAGGTAAAATTCGGACAGCTTTTTCAAATATTCAAAGGAAAATATCTAAATCTCATGTTATCAAATAAAGAAAGATGTTCTATTTATCGTACACTCTATCTATTTATCTAAGTATTCATAAGAAAGATGCCAAGGCTTCAGCTCTTTTAATATTGTAAATGCAATTTATAAAAGAAGTTATGTGCATATATTAAAAGCTTCATTGCATGATATAAGTCTTAAAGTACAGGGGGGGATTCAGGGGGGGGGGAGGGGCGGCAGGATCTTCGCACTCCCCTGAGATTTCAGAATAGCTCTTCAATAGCACTTAAGAGAAAGAAAACCTTGAGCAAAACAGGAAAAATATTTATCGTAAAAAATTTTTTGTTCCTTAATCTGGATGTTTTTGTTCCGAAATAAATCTAGCACACCTGTATCCGCCCCTGTCAAAGTATGTAAAAGAATTTAAATACAGAATATCATTGTTAAAATTCTCTTATTTTTTAGATCCAGCTCAAAGTAGTGAAATCTTTTCCTCCCTATTTCTAGTTTGTTTAAGAGTAAATACTAATGCTGAAAACAATATAACTGTGGATATCGAGATCAATCCTTGATTTCGATGCAACCAATCAGAGTGTCGATTGTAGAAACCGATCAGCCAATTAAAGGTCGAGAAATTTTGAAATTTTTCACGTGATCACCAGGAGAACTTTCATTGGTCGGAATCCAACAGAGATATAAAAAAGAGATGATCCAGAAAAAAATCAAAAGTGTTCACAGTAGATATATAGATTTAGAAATCGGGATTAAGCGCATACAGAAGTTTTCAGCTCTAAAGTCAGAAGTTTTGTGTTGTGAATTTCGGGATCAAGTATTGATTTCCATCTTATGCTAATCTACGGATTAATTTAATTAATCCTTAATTGATATCCCATGTCATGGTCATACCCTGCAGGGATGATTTTAATTGAGGGATCAAGCATTGATCAACATCTCTTCTTCAGATCTACGGATTGATTGAATCTCATATTGATTTCCAATTATGGTCATACCCTGCAAAGATACGTTTAATTTAGCGATCAAGCATTGATCCACAAATTTAGAAGTACTCACATTGGATATCGAGATTAAATGTTCAAGTGTTCAAGATTAACAATATTCACACAAAAGTTCCATTCTCTGAAGCAATTCTTAAAGGCCTATTAGGTGTTTGCCATGGAAACTATAATGATTCACAACTTTCGCGGATTAAAAAAATGCTAAATATGTAAAATTTATTTAAAAGAATTTTCAACGTCATTTCAAGTAAAATCATTTAAATGGTATGATTTTTTCCCCAATAGTGCCTTTTAAAACCTTTGTTTAAAAAATTTAAAACCAAAATCACCGATTTCATACTTGCTTTAAAACCAAGAAATGTTTATCAAATATTTACAAAAAAATGGTGTGAACTATACAGATGGGATGGAATGGGACCTAAGTATGTAAAGATATGGGATTAAAATTGGATCGAAATGGTCTCAAAATGGATTCAATTCGGATAGAAAGTAATAATTAAGATATGAAACCTTGTGATTTATAAATATTTAAAGCAGGGAAGAGCGTGGAAGAATATTATTAAAAACAAGGAACGTATATGAGCACTTAATTATTAATTTGATAAATAATTTAAAAATATGGATTAGGGTTGGTATAGAATTGGGTTCTTTAAACATTTGACTTTCTAACAATCATTCTTTTCTTTATAAATTAATTTCAGTTTGAATATCAGAACATAAGTGCTATTTATATTAATAAGTTTTAAGAAAAAATATAATTGATTTTAGCTTTATAATTGAAATGAGGAAGCATTTCATAAATGACTTTAGAAAGTAGAAATGTGGTAACCCAACCCCTTCTTTAAAGTTAGTCTTTAAAGCAAAGATTAGAAGACAATGAAAAATAACGTATGGGCCATATCCGTCACGTTAATTCGATGAGCTAGCCAATATTACCCAAAAAGAATAGAATATATATATTAGAGTGGAATTTAGACAATCCCACGGTATGAATTTTGTCAGTCCCTTTCAGCCTGAAAGAGAGTTCAAAGTGTACAAATCATGTAAATGTTCACAAATTATTTGCAGTAGAGTACACTAATACAGTATTTTCCATATACTATCCATTTCAATTTCGAATTTTTTAAAGCTGTTAAATAAACTTTATAATGATTGAATTAGGTGAATAAAAAACCTCGTTTGATTTATAGTTATAACGGAAAATCATCGTTTGTAAAGTGAAAGGCATAGAGTCTATATGAAATGATCATTGGTCAATTATGAAACCAGCCTATTTCATAATTTGGTTTTCTTTTAATATTAATTTTAGATTTTCTATAAAATGATATTCCAGGGCCCAAAAGGTTACATAGCACAAATATGTGAAGTACACCTGCAGTATGGAAACAGTACAACAAAATGGCCGTTTTACACTTTTTTCTAGTAAATTCCCCTCTAATATATATTCTATTCTCTTTGATATTAACGAACGATTTTTAAAAGATTCTAACGTGACTAACCCTGTTGTGAGTACATGGTACGGCATCGTATAGGCTCCTGTAGTTTTGATTTTACAAAACATATTCGTTCTTGTCAATAGCTCTTCATTAAGAGGATTAAAAACATTTTCGCAATTTACTTTCGTATGGTGTGTATCGTGTATTAATAGACAATTGTTTTTTAATATTTTGTTTTGAGAGGAAAGTGACACATTCTTGAAGAGGCGACAAGAGAAACAATTCGAGTATATGGCGGTATCAAAATATCATAAAACTGTTTCATTATCTCAATTTCTTTTCTAAAGCATACCCACACCACTTTTTATGTGAGAACGATGTTCTGCGAATGGGTGCAACCCCCCGAAAATCTAGTAAATTATGTAAATGTTTTTTTTAAACGTTTTCATCCTTTGGAAAGTTTGCACAGATCATTTATTAGATTTCGGCGAAAAATCATAATTTTTATACCAAAACATTGCAAATGTTGATTTTTAGAAAGTAAAACATGGATATCTCCATCGTTGTGAAAGGGCGTGTAAATTTTAAAATATAGGGCGCTTGAATTTACAGGAACGAAAGAGCATATTTGTTAATCGAATCTTAACTGTCTTTGTATACTTGCATGTAAATATACACAATAATTCATATGTTGATAAAGCAAACAAAAATTTTACAATGACAAAAATAGTTTGATGTTTTATCCATCAAATCATTATCTATCTCCACGAGGGGGGGGGGAGGGGGTCTAAAAATTGTGATTATTTAAAGACGATGTTTCACTAAACATAAACTAATAATAAACATTGCAAGCACTAGAATACTAATTACATGAATATAAAGAATGCATTGTGCCAACATGCTTTATAGTACTTACAGGTGTGCGTTGAGCAGAGGAGTTCAGGTGTTTCAGCGCTTTAGTGGCATTCACGGGCGAGGGTTGACCCATAAGTATCTCGGATACAGGTAGATCCATCAGGTTGGCCGGCGCAGTGGTCGATGTCTCGCCTGCCGGGGGCACAGGAGGTCCCCCGCCTTTCCTAGCCGGTCGACCCCGTGGTCGGATGAACTCATGGTCGTGTAGCTTGTAGCAACCTGTACCCGTATGTCCCTGATGTTTAGGAACAGGATCAGGAACTGATTCATCCATATCCACATCAACCTGGGAACCCAGCACAGACATGTTATGTCCTAGAAAATAAAAAATATGTTAAAAGTTAGAAAACCCACCAAAATTATGTAAAAATATTCACAATGCAAATAAGGTTTAAGAAATAATCAGGAAGCCTCTTGTAAGGTCCTTATAATGTTGAACAGATATTAGGTCGTGATTTTTTCTTTTTAGTTCCATGGTATACATGTACATTTACATGTACATTGAATTTGTACATTGTAAATGAACATATATGTACTCATTGAGTTCTCTATAGAATAAGAATGGAATAGGCTTCAGTAAATTCTACAATATCTTATATCTTCTGAAGCTATCCCATAAATATGAGGGGGCTCTAACTTGAGTTTTTCTACAGGGTGTTCAAACAAAAATGGAGAATAAGTAAATATTTCAACAAAGTCATTTCTTCTTCAGAAAATAAGTCATTTTTTTCAAATATTGTCGAGCATCGTTTTTTCGTAAGATCGAGCGAAGCATCTTTTAAAATCTCAAATTCGTTAAGCATTGATTTTAAAGAATGAGTAAAAAAATCTTCACTTATTAATCTTTTTTATTGGAGCTCCCTGCACGCCACTAAACATGAACTATGCATTGAATCATCAATTGACCCTAATATGTAATTATATAGCTTTTACAAGTATTTTTTTAACTTTATTTCTATTGTATAAGTATAGAGTGTTAAATCAATTATTAGGAAGCATAAGTTTTATAAGATGTAGATTTAGGCATAAACCTTAAAGTTTGAGTGGCTTTTTTTATGTCCATATATAAATGTATTGAACCAATACAACTGAACGAAAAATAAATTTTGCAACATCAACTCTAGGAAAAAAGTACTTCCAATGCGGTAAAACGTACAACTGCAAACTCATTCTGATTTTGCTTCATTTTAGTCCAAACAAAAAACTAGCTGCCAAAAAATTTTGTAATTTTTTTTAGTAAAAATTTTCCATGTTCAGACTTCATATAAAAAGATCAAGTACTGTCATATGATATTAAAAAAATACTGGTTACTATATAAGTATATATTTTGGTCACCGGATGAATATATATGTATATATTTTCTAGGCTGTAATGGGGACTATATGGAAAACCTAAAGGACGATATATAATTATAGCCCATTAAAAATCTTTTATAAATTTTATATTGATTTAATATTTAGTAGAAGGCCTCTTGTTTAACTGTATAAAGGTTTATCTTCAAATATAAATCTTAAATCAAATATAAAAACAAGTATATTCAAAGTATACAATTACATGCACTATGCACATCTCAGCCTTAAAAGTGCCTCTATAAGGAGGAAATAGTTCTTCTAAAACTGACAAAATTTATTTCAAAACTTTTAAAGAAAAAGAAATTTCAACTTGAACAGTTCTATTCTATGGAATAAAAAAGTTGCCAGTTTTTAGTTGTAGAATTTATCTGTAAAGTTTTCCTATAAAACCTGTAAAAGAAGAGCTCTATGTATACTACAGGGTGTCCCACGAAACATGACAGTATGCAAGACGACTTGAATATCGTCTTGATTTTTGATATAATTTGCTGCATTTATTTGTCAACCTAATTTAGAAGTAAATTTCTAGAGATAATAATCACAAAATTCCCCTAGTCCTGCCATTTCCAAAATGTGGTCTGCCTTTTTTGTGCTTTCAATTATGCCCGAGATATGAACAATTTGGTTCAGATTTCGACAATTTTGCTTTTATTTAACAAAATTGAAATCTGAACCAAACTCTTTATATCTCCGGTAATATTGAAAGCACAAAAAACGCAGACCACTTTTTGGAAATGCCAGGGCTAGGAGAATTATGTGATAATTGTTTCAAGAATCATACAAGTTAAAGTAGATAGAAGACTAAATGTCACAAATAAATTCAAATATCAAAGACGACTTTCAAGTCGTCTTGCTATTGTCATGTTTCGTGGGACACCCTGTATATATATCTACTACTTAATCTACAGTGGTCTAACAAATAAAGTGGAAAAGGAAATTGTTTGTACAATGATAATTTGCAGTGTTACTCTTCCATGGATCAAACTCAAAATTAGACATAGCATAGCATAGCATACTTTACGAATCTGAGATATAAATCAAAATTGCATTTTCTTTAAGATTGCTTTAATTACTTTAGATGAAACATTGTTAAACAAAATGATTTGACCGATAGTTTTTATCTAATGTTGATGTAAAATATTGCTTTATGTAAAAAAATTATTCAACTAATTAATCATTAAGCATATAATTTCAAAATAAATATTTCTTATTCTTGTGGATTCTTAAAAACCCATAAAACCATGAATGTTATTCTTAATGTTTTCAAACTTATGTATTAGTTTTATATGATAAATTATTAAAGTAACTATTAAAGAAACGTAATTTTAAATATCTTTTTTTCTATTTATAGAGTTGCAGTATAATTTGATTTGATTTAATTTTTAATTCTGGTTTCTCTTAAAAGCGTTTTAGGCATTTCTGTTTCAGAAACAAGGAAGAACAATTTCAGAATTAAACACTATTCAATAAGGATTGATATCCCGCCATTATTTTGTGTAGACCACTGTATTATTGACTATTACTAAGTTCCTCCAAGGATCAGCAGCATCTAAAGGAAACTGTCACTAATTGGTTTCTGTCAGGGACACAGTTAGGGGAACACTATAGTTAACTATATAGATAGATAGATAGATTACTAGAATTCAATATTATCATGCGAAACATAAGGGGACAAATAAAATATTCCCGAGTGGTTTCAACATTTTCATAACAAAAAAATTCACAATTCAAAGAAACTAATAACTCTCCTCATACAATAATATTATAATCCTTATGTCGTGCGTAGACCTTTGATATTTCAAATTATGAATTCAGATATAGTGATCGGCGTTTATATCAATACAAAACAGACAACTTTTCTTCATTGTATTGATATACACGACTACAGCTGTAGATAAAATAGTCTAAGTGTGAAATATAAAAGGTTAACACCTTCAAAAAAAAGAGTTTCCTTGATATAAAAAGGTTTATTCGATTTCAATTGTTGAAATCTAAAATGTTTGCCACCACTTAGGAATGAAAGGGGTAGATGATCAAAAAAGGGTCTGAGGGACTTCTATGTATATTTCTATATATGTAAACAATATACATATTCTCTATTATTCATGGATTTCTAGAAATACAACATAAGATCTAGGATTCTAGAAATTTAATATCTGAGTTTTTAGAACTTCTAGATCCTACGCTTACTAGATTTCTAGACGTTTATGAGGGTTCTAATCTTTGCTTTAAATCTAGATCATTGAATAACTTTCAAAATAAATTTCATAATCAAATAAAAAATATAATAATCCTATCAAATAGAATTAAAGAAATAGTTTGAGTTAAATTTATTTTGAAAGTGTGACTAAGCAATCTTGCTAAACTTATATTTGTTGATTATTACCCATCTATGGCCTGGCTCTAGGAGCCGGGTAGATATTTCCAAAATCCTGGCGAGAAAAAAAAACAAATATGTCTCTTAGTTTTAAAGTATACAAGTAAAAAATAACTATGCCTATGAGAACGTTATGAAACCTTATCATTGTATTGATTTGACCGCAATGACCCACGGACACAAATATACACACAACTCACTACATTCTATTCAGTCATGATGTAATCTTAAAGAAATATAATAAACAACTAAAGACAAGAAGTTTGGCAAAAGAACTGATTACTGACTCATATTGTAATTTCATATCTTTGAATCCTTATGACGTAGAATATTGATATTCTAAGCTTAGTAGTATGCTTGAAATATAAAAGATTTACACCATAAGGTAGCAAAGATATTGGCATTAGAAAACTATAGTTTGAGGCGAGTATTCAGTTCCTTTAGAGAAAAAGAAATATTTGAGAAAGTTTCAAACTGAGCTAGAGTTAAGAAACTTGATATTACAAAGTTAATGGGGGGGGGATTTGGTGGGGGGAGAAACAAGGGAGGGGAAGGGGTTAGGTGGGTATAAAGGGGGGGGACTGCTGGGGAATCTATGTTGGAATGAAGAGAATGAAAAATTAGTTTAAATCCCTAAGATCATGGATAGAAGGAGCTGAGCAGAATTAGAATTGTAAATTCCTTCCTGAAGATTTAATTATTTTTATCTAGTTCAAATTAGAGGAAACTTCATTATTTCTCAGAATTATCATTTAACTAATTGTTCAAAACTCACTTTCTAAACATTTTCTCAGAAGTAATCAATAAAGTTTTTATTTTATCTCCGGTTAAAGGACTTTAACATACTGAGAGGAAGACAAGGAAAAGGATATACCAGATTCAGATTAGTATTCAAGATTAGTTTCTCCAGGTTCTGGTTGCCATCTCATCCTTAGTTTTTAAACTGTTTAGTATAGGCATTGAAAGTAAAACAATCCTGGGTTAGTATCCTGTAGTATCCTAGAGTATACTGGGTTAGTATCCTTGAGTATCCTGGAGTATACTTGGTTAGTATCCTGGAGTTTACTGGGTTAGTATCCTGTAGTATCCTGGAATATCCTGAAGTAAACTGTGTTAGTATCCTGGAGTATCCTGGAGTATACTTGGTTAGTATCCTGGAGTTTACTGGGTTAGTATCCTGTAGTATCCTGGAGTATCCTGGAGTATACTGGATTAGTATCCTGGAGTATACTGGGTTAGTATCCTGGAGTTTACACGGTTAGTATCCTGTAATATCCTTGAGTATCCTGGAGTATACTGGGTTAGTATCCTGGAGTATAGTGGGTTAGTATCCTGGAGTATACTGGGTTGGTATCCTGGAGTATACTGGGTTAGTATCCTGGAGTATCCTGAAGAATACTGGGTTAGTATCCTGGAGTTTATATGGTTATTATCCTGGAGTATCCTGGGTTAGTATCCTGGAGTAAACTGGGTTAGTATCCCGGAGTATCCTGGGTTAGTATACTGGAGTATCCTGGGTTAGTATCCTGGAGTTTACATGGTTAGTATCCTGGAGTATCCTGGGTTAGTATCCTGGGTTAGTATC